TTTCATTGTTACTTAAGTTAAAATATTATTAAATTTCTCTTTGGATTTTATCTACCACCCCATTCTTATTGTATGCTGTATAATCTTCATGTCTTTTGGTTTTTCCTGATGCTTTCCTGTTAATGATAGCTAATTTAATTCCAATCTAACTGCACTTATGATTTTCCAAATTTCTTAAACTTGTTAGAATGGATAACAAACAAATCTGATAGAACTTAAAGTGTGTTGCATGGTCCATAATTAGTGAACAGTACAAATGTTCTTGAGAAAAGAAAGGTGTGTTCTCTTGCTGGTGAATGACATGAACAAAGGCCAGTGATACCCAGTGGATGGCTGATGCTCTTCTGGTCCCTTTGTCCTCACTGATTTCCTGGTTGCTGCATGTGTCCATTCTAGTATAGGAGTGTGATAAGAGGTTCATATATTTCTCCTAAAGTCTATCAGATTTGTTGGTGACCCACTCTAGCAATCTCTTTCTTGATATATTCAGTCTAGTGGACATTCATTGTGATAATTGCTATATTTTTCTTATTTATTTGTATCTGTGATATTTGCTACTCTTTTCTATCTGTTGCCTTTGTTCATTGTTCCTGTCTTTGTCTCTAGTTCTTTTCCGCACTTTGTGATTTCACTTGAGCATTTTATGGGTTCATAGTATATGTGTGACCCTCCCTAGTCTTAACATTTTTCATTGGTTACCATAAAGTTTGCAATGTACATTTACTGAGATATTCTACAATGATGATAGGTGTTGATTTTTCCAAAAGGACAAAACAGCCTTCAAACAAGATATTTTCTTACAAATAGAACATCAAAATGGATTAAGGGAAAATAGATGAAGGTCATTATCTACTAAAGGAACAAACATTCAAATTTGGAAGAGTACTACTTCTCTCTCAGAATGGCTTAAGCTAATATATGTGACGAAGCCAAAAGCTCCTAAGGATGCTTTTGTTGTCCACCATAACTAGATGCTATTGCTAAAGACACTGCCCATCCTGGATGCAGGATCTAAAGAATGGTTTTCTAAAGACAGTCATGTTTGGTTCTATCATAGGTCTCTGGGCTGTCCAGCCTCTGGGTTTTAGCCCTCCAGGCACTGTCAGGGTGGGCTCCCTCTCATAGTATGGGTCTCTAGCTGGATCAGTCATTGGTTGGTCACTCCCACAATTTCTTTTTCCCAGCATATCTTTTTTTTGCAAAAGTTTTTTTAAATTTCTTTCTGTAAATCATAAACTATTTGAGAAGAATTAGGGTGACCCAACAAATGCATCTTAACCTTATCCCAATCAAACTTGCTTTCATTAAATCTTAAGGATGTGATACAATGAGAAGAAACATTCAAATCACATTTTAATTTTATCTGCACCTTCAAAATTTCTAACTGATCCCCTAACAATACAACAGCTTGCCTTAACTCAGTTAATCTTTTACTATCTCATTGCCCATCTTATTTTGTTCAGTCCAAAGTTCTTCTGGATGTCCCAGCATATCTTTGTAGGCAGGGCAAATTGTCGGTCAAAGGTTCTGTGGCTGGGTTCAGGTCCCAGTCTCTCCACTGGAAGTCTTGCCTGTTTATAGGAAATGACCCCTTAGCATTCCTTTAAAAGCCCTTTGGCAGAGACAGTCATGGCCCAACAGATTAGGATCCAGGCCCTCCTGAGGCTATTCTGTGTTTCTGTCTCTGTCTCTGTCTCTGTCTCTCTCTCTCTCTCTCTCTCTCTCTCTCTCTCTCTCTCTCTCTCTCTCTCTCTCTCTTTCTAGCTATCTTTCTATCTAATATTTCCTGCTGCTCCTGATCAAGAGTACCCTGAGGAAAAGTGGGAGTGGGATGGCCCTCCATAGCCAAAATAGAAGATGAAGTACCTAGTCTTGTTATAATTTGATATGCCATGGCTGGCTGATATACACAGGAGGCCTGCCCTTTTCTGAAGAGAAAGGAGGACTAGATTGGGGAGGGGGTTTGGGGATAAGGGCTTGGAGGGAAGAAAGGAGGGGAAAATGTGATTGGGCTGGGAAAAAATTAATTCATTAAAAATTCATTAATTTAAAAAATCAAGAGAAAAATAAAGCTGAATCTATACTTTTTTTTAAAATTTAATTAATTTATTTATTTTACATCCTGACCACAGCCTCCCCTCCCTCCTCTCCTCCCACTCCCCGCTACCTTCCCTCTCAATTAACCCCTCCTCTGTATTCACTCAGAAAGGGCCAGGCCTCCCATGGGCAAAGCATGGCATATCAAGCTACCATAAAACCAAGCACCTCCCACTGTATTCAGGTTCGGCAAGGCAATTCAGCAGGAAGAACAGGTTCCTAAGAGCCAGCCAAAGCACCAGGAACAGCTCTGCTCCCATTGACAGGAGTTCCACAAATAGACCAAGCTAAACATCTGTCACATATATGCTGAGGGCCTAGGTTGGTCCCAGGCAGGTTCCCTGGTTGTTGGTTCAGTTCTGTGAATTCCCATGAGCCAGACTAGCCGTTTCTGTGGATTTTCCAGTGATGTCCCTGACCCCCTGACTCCTACAATCCCTCCTTCCTCTCTTCAGCTCAGCCTAGTGTTTGGTCATGGGTCTCTGAATCTGCCTCCATCAATCACTGGATGAAGGCTCTCTGATGACAACCGGGGTAGTTATCAATCCAATCAGTTCAGGCTGTGCATCCACTGCTGCCAAGAGTCTTAGCTGGAGCCATCCTTGTAAACTCATGAAGTTTCCCTTGTATCAAGCTTCTACCCCACTCTGTAAAGCCCCCCTTTCCAGTCATCTCTCAGCACTTCCCCCTCCGCCCACCCCCCAACCCAATCTCTCAAGTTTCCATGCCCACCCACCCCCAGTCCAAACAGGAGATCTTCTCTATACCATCATCCCAAATGGGTAATTGCTGAAGCTTCCTTCAAACTCTCCCATGTATTGCCCCCTTACACTCTTTCAAATTCATGACCTTAAAAAAAATGTCATTACATGTATGTGTTCCTACATCCATAAATGCAATCTGCTTATTTCTGGATAATGTTACCTATATGTGTATGTTTTCAGGATTGACCCTTTGCTACTAATTGGTATGCTCTTCCATGGGAAGATGACTTCAGTTATGCTCTCATTATTCCTTAATTGCCTGTAGTTCTTTGTCTAGAGTTGAGGCCTCCTGAACATGCCACCCTATGTGTCTATTAGTATCACCTTTGTTCAGGTCATGGTTAGGCAGCCATGTTAGTGAGGCTTCATGGATGTAGCTTCTGACATTCATAAAAGACATAATCTTACATCATGCTCCCTCATCCTCTGGCTTTTAGAAGCTTTCTGTCCCCTCTTCTGCAATGACCTCTGAACCTTAGGTGTGGAAGTTGTATTATAAATTTATCAGTTGGGACTGTGCTCCACAATTCTGCATTTTGATTGGCTGTGTTTTTCTGTAATGATCTCCATCTACTGCAAAAAGAAGTTTCCTTGATGAGAGATAAGAATTACACTTATCTGTGTGCATAGGGACAAATATTTAGAATGTAGTAAGGGATTATTTTGGTTTAGTAAAGTGGAAGTTGTAGTTCTCTTCCAAGATCCATGACTTCACTAGCCCTAGATTTCCAGTACCAGGCATGACGTCCCTCTTGTTGAGTGGGCCTTAAGTACAATTAGAGAGCTGTTGGTTACCATCCAGGTATGTCTGCCAGTACTCTACCCTTAGGATTATGGTGTCATGATAGTCATTGTTGTGGTTCACAGCTATCACAGCTGGGTAGGACAATTGGTTGCTTCCCTTCTTTGGAAGCTTGCATGGCACCTTCTGGTTTGCTACTGTCCTTGGTTGTCCCCAAGAGGTGAAAGGTAAGTGCCTGTTGCTGAAGAGAACTGGCCTACAAGCCTCTTCCCCTGAGTGTTAGTTATTATGTGGTTCTCTGTTATTAAGCAGTGCTGTTTTCTGTGTGAGAAAAACCACAAGGCACAGCAAAACCACTGTAAGAGCTTATTAAGAGAAGAAACAGAGGGGAGTGCTTAGACCGACAAAAATGGTCATGCAAGGAGACAGGAGGGAGGGGTCTGTGACCCACTTTTTATGGATTCCCCCGCACATGAGCAGATGGGCTTATGTAGCTACAGTACGCTGTGTGCATATATTACATGATCACACTGGCCACAAATTACGTAGGATGTAAGGCCCCAGAATGACTAAGCGTTTTGCCAGAGCATGTGCAGTCATGGGGGAGTGGCTAGAGATTCCAACACTGAGGACCAATCAAATAATCTTTTATAACAGCATTAGTTTCAAGTCACACTGGAAATATTTTTCCTACTCAATTTTCATGCCCTTGAATTTATACCTAAAATTATGCACAGACGACACACCTTTGTGCTGCTAAGCTTTTACTTGGTGTTACTAGCAAGAATTACAGTCATTCTTGGTTCTTAGGGACTGTGGAAGACATATTCCTGTATAGTAATTGGGGGGTGTTGCTTTAACTGTGTCTCCAGATAAGCATTAGCATCACCTAGGAACTTACTTCTTTGCCCCCCTAAACTTAAAGAACTCTGGTTTTGGGGCCTGCAGCCAGTAACTGAACAGAAATCCTATAATTGTGACAACAGATGTTTTAATCCATGTGGGAAAGTTGTGGGAAGACTGTTTTCTTGTTTGAGTTCTCTGCTAAAACTGCCACGAAGAGTAAGCATGGTTTTCTGAAGCTACTGGTTGGTTGGGCTTTTTAAGTAATTATTTAACAACATTAGTTAAATCTAATGATTACAGATGTGACTTCTAGAAAGTCTCCCACCAAACAGAATAGTCTACTTATGAAAATAGTAATGCTTCAGTCCTAAATTTTAAGTAACATTCATTTCACTTCAGAAAAAAGTTGGTGTTCTTTGTGTTTCTAGTTCTGGCTTTTCTAACTGTCCTTTATAAAAGGGTAAACGAAACACATTGTCGTGCTACTTACCTAATTATATATATTATACTTATATGCACTCAATAGTATGAAACCTTTTTCTGCATTTCAGGTCCAAACTGCTTTGCAGAAACTGCTGTCATCCCAGCTGGTAGAGAAGTGAAGACGGATGAATGCACCATATGTCACTGTACTTATGAGGAGGGTACGTGGAGAATTGAACGGCAAGCCATGTGCACAAGACATGAATGCAGGCAAATGTAGACTTCACAATACAAAACTCTCATGTTTTTCTAGAATATTTTACTAATGTTGACATTCTAGATGACTCTGAGAAATGTCAATCAAAAAGAGAAGACTTTGGATAAGGAGTCAAGGGAAATGGTTGGCACTTTTCCTTTTCTTGGTAACAATTACAGCAAGAGACAGACATGGATGTATTTCAAAACATCAATAAGAACTTTGGACATAAACTCCCTCTCTAAATAAATGTGCTATTTTCACAGTAAGTACACTAAAGTTCACTATTATATATTAAATGTGTTTCTATAATCCCTCTATTAGAGTCTTATATATTAAAAATGCTGTTGTCAACCGTCCTCACTGTGGTAGCCTTCATTCCATCATGGGGTGCTGGTGGTACCAGGAATCCTTCACACCTGCACATGCAATACTGCACCCCATTAAGGGACTGCAAAAATAATGACTGCTTTATAGCAAAATCCTGTTCAAATGCTATTGAACTAATGCTGTGTATCTAAAGCTTGCCCTTAGGACACAATCTAATTCTCATAAATAGGCTTCCATATTTTAATAGCCCATTTCTTTTAGCAGTTCATCCTTACTCATTTGGGAAATGTAGGTATAAAGACTGCTACCATACATTTCTTCAGTTCTCATAGTAATCCATAAGTAAACATTTACATGTATTTCATTTTCATTTACATTACCTATTTTACTAAGCATAACTTGAATTCACTCCCTCAGAAAGCTGAGACTTCTGCATTAGTCCCATGAGGCTGGAGCTGTTCTAAAGCACTCTGCATGTGTATGGGGGTGGGGGATGTCTTTGGATTCTCTGGAGAATAGTTAAGGAAAGTCAAATTCCTGAACAAGCTTATGCCTGAAATAAAAAATATGCTATAGACATCTCACATATCTCAGCTTAGTGTACCCATACTGTTAGTTGAGGTAGAAATCTGTCCTCAGTAATAGACAGAGTGAGATGATAAATCTGTCTTGCATCAAGAATAGTGTAGGTGCAAGTAGAATTCTTTGTCCAATTATGTTTAAACAAGGGAGTAAAAGCTAAGTACAGTCTTCCCTACAGTCATATATAATCCAAATGATCTTCATGTGAACTAATCAAAGCTGCTGTAAGTGTTGCTGATGGGGCCACAGTGACTATGGAGAAGTTCCCGTTTCATGAACCACATCAACACTTGGTACATGAGTGAGAGAGGCAGTCAGGGTCTTAATATGTGTAAACAAAACCAAAGGATCTATTTGCAACCTTTACGTACATACCCCCACATTTATTTCTACTAAATTTTAAAATTAAGTATCTATTACACAAAACATCTTGTGGAGACAAAGAGGAAATGAGGGCTGGTTTGTTCTCTCTCTATGCTTTTTTTCTATAGCACAACAGGACTAAGAAATTACACTATACTATATTATAAACCCAATCAGAGGCTAGAAAATGAAGACTTCTACAAAGACTTACTAAAAACAGCATAGTTCATACACCCAAACCCTGCCAGTATATACTAATTTCAATAACTTATTGTTGAATGATAGTCAATGACAATTGAAAATTTGAATCATTATAATAATTACAAAAATTACCAGGGCATTTGTATATGCTTATATTTTTATCTTGTTTTTGAAAAATATCTGGGGTCAGGTAGACTAGCATGTACATCAACTTCATAAAAATACTCAGGGGTATTATTAGCTAGTTACTCTCAGGTACCTGTTTTCAGCTTTCCAAAACTTAAATCTTAGTATGAAAGACTGTTAGGCATCATCTGTCCCTCCATTATTCAACAGTAGATTTTCTTGAGACAAAGGTCATATAAGGTTAGCATCTTGCCAACAACTGACCCTGTCCTCTTAAAATACATGGGCTACTGAGCTAGATGTAACTACGTACAACTTGCCTCTTCTCTCTACATGAGACATGGCGAATTACAGTTTCAGTGTATGGGGCTCATTTTTCTTATTTCCCTTGGCAATAGGATCCCTACAGAATGGAAAATGGGTTCTCAAATTATTGCAGTGGAACAAATCATAAATGCTATGAGAATGTCAACAAATCTCATTCTTCTGCAGAGAAAGTGAACACAATGTGGTCTGGGGAATTACTTTGATATAAATCGTTGGACCCCACACTGTCTCAGGCACATTTCTGGGAGCTGGAGCTCAGTGGCTGTGATTGCATTAGAATAACTCACATCAACATAAGACAAACATGGATGAACCTTGGTTCTCTGCACTGCATATCCTAAGTAATGAAATTGGCATTATTATTTTTAATCGGGAACTGCTCCTCTTGCAGATCATTTAGACTTTCAGGTCTACACAGCTGATTCAGATCGATGCTTTTTTTTTCTTCCCTGTGTGCACAAAAGTCTGCTCCAGTTTTCAACAGTGCAACATAAGCTAGATAACTTTAACTGCACAATAACTCGGGGATAGTATGAGTTCAAGTTATTTGATTGCACAAGTCTCAACATTCAAATACACTTATCTTTTAAATGTCACAATTCTCTAAAGTTCTAATAGGCTAATTATTAGGGATTTAATCGAGTTAAAAAAAAAAGCAGCTGTGCTTACAAATTAATTACATGAACTTATTCCCAAAATCCCAACCTATGTTTAGGTATGAAAATTTGAGCTGCTCAAGTGAGCCACAGAATAGCTCCAGAAATAATCCAATATGACTTTTCAGAAGTTTACAAAGATAGATTGTTTCTTTTGGGGGTTCATCTGATGTTTTAGCTTTCTAAACATGGATCTTGTTTTCATTTGGTTGTTTGGGGATCCTAATTGAACAGATCAGCCAACCGCCCTCAGAACAGTTGTCTTTAAAATCAGCCTGGGGCTATGGACGGACACAGTCTTCTGTTAGCAGTGACTCTTGCCCAGACCCTTCTCCGAACTGTTCTAAGACTTTCCATTTCTTTTCAGTACTGAAAGACCTCAGAATGGGGTTCAAGAGGACATTAAGATGTATTGTTGGGAGTAAAGAATTTACTAGGAAAGTTATTAATGCTGTGGATAGGCAGACAGTTGGGAACAGCAAGACAGGGCCTCTGAGGAATGATCAGTCCCCAGTACCAGGCAGACAACATGACAGGGGTTCTGGAGAAAGGAAATCAGAATCCAAGCAGCAGGAGTGAGGGTCTCGTAGTTTTCTAGAGGTGGGTGATGTGCAGAAGAGCACAAGTCTCCAGCCAGGCTCTGATTCCTGTGCTGGAGGTAGGGAAATGGATGGGAAATGGGCTATGTGACCACCAATACCCCATTTGATGTAAACTCAGTCCCCAAGTAACAGTTCCTGGAACATGAAGTCTCTCAGCTAGAGACTCAGAGTGTCTTAGCTGGGCACCCGTAGGAGTTTGTCAAAGAGGAAGGCTGCTGCATGTACTGTGTTCTGGGCAGCAGTAGTCACTTTTCAATGACCAGCTCAAGTGTCATGACTTTTGAGGAGGATTCTGTCGTAAGTAAGGTAATTAGATTGCCATTGTAAGTCTCTGGCACAGCACTAATTTGGTGTCCTTTTAGCACATACTTTAAAAATTGTATCATAAGCTGAGAATGTAGGTGGCTAAGTGGAAGTGTGTTTGCCTAGCATGCACAAGGACCTCAGTTTTGCTTCCAGCATCACTAAAAGATAATTATACCAGTTAACAGCTGGGATGTACCTCAATGATAAATTGAATAATAGACATAAAGCAACAAAAACTGAATTGCTTCACATGTAGAACGCCCCAGTTCAATCTACTGTAGTATTCAAAAAGAAGTTTGTATCATAGCTAATAGTAAATTTTATGTGCTTTTCCTTTAATTCCTAACTCCCTTTCATTCACATTATGAGGCATTCACTTCAAGTATCATCTACTAAGTGTTAAGTTTGGTTTACTGAATCACATACAGTCCACTCTACCTGTGTATCGAACAGTGGTGGGAAGCTCCCACTGCTGTTTGCTGCCCTGTTTTTGTTTTGTTTTGTTTCGTTTGTTTTTCAGATTTCTAGCACATTTCCCACACTCAGGATACAGACCACAACCTCCCACCAATCAAATCCCTCACTGCTGTAATGGTTGAGGATGGATGTGACAATCAATTGCCAATTCTGATCAAAGTCAGGACAAACTGCTTTGATGTAAAAGTTCTAACACTGAAGAAAGCCTCTAATGAAAACATGATGATACTCACAATAAATGCAATCAAGTTTACAGCTTTGGTATTTCCTTGTTGATACCATTTTTAAATAAAAATTTCCTATCCTAGACTTTGTTTTAGGATTTTGAGTATTTCTGCATCTCTCTGTGTTTTTGTGTACTATGACTGAGTACTGCAGTTGGCTTCTGTGGACCTGTTATTAAATCAGTGATCTGAATTGTACACACAGAAACACAGTAGCTCCAAGTGTGCTGGAAAAAGGTCTAAAAGCGATGGCTGTTGATATTTCACCACAGTGTCAGACTGCACTCTCATTTGCAAAGCGTTTACTGTTTCTGCTTTACCACACACACACACACACACACACACACACACACACACACACACACAAACACAAATTGTAGGAAAAAAAAACCCCTAATTTAAATTCCTAATTGTTAGCTGAATTCCATCAACTTCTAAGTGATACTGACAATCAGGGTAAGAATATTCACTCAAAGATTCAGTAACATGAACATTTCAATGACAATGTGCTCTATTGCTGTGCCTAGTCACAGTTTATGATACATGAAATGCATACCTGGGATTCTATAACAAGGACATAAAACCCATAATATAGACACAGTGATAGCAAATACAATCAATGAATAAACCTGAAGTCATTTATTAAATTACTGTTGTGGTCTGTTAACTGAAAATAATTCTAAATATATCCCACTTTAGTTAGAATTCAATTCTTAGGAAGTAGAAATATTTCCCAATTTTATTAATATTTAAAAATATTTTATTTGCTCACTAACATTTACTATTTTTCTTCAATTTCTGGAATTTACATTTCAATTTGTTTCTAGATACATTTATGAAAATGTTCATTTCCCTATTCTCTATCATTTTACATTCTAAACTAAATGCAATTCTATTTTATTTTTGTTTGTCTATAGGGTTTTTCATTATCTTATTTATACTCCCAATATCACAAAAGTAGCCAGCACCGTCTCTACTCAGGTCATTCAGAAAGTTGAGAAGATGCCTAATGATTCAATCTAGTGAATGAATGGGCAAGAATTCAAGTTTGCTTTATGCCAGAACCCATGACACAAAGTCTTGTCATTCATGTTTAGACAAATTACCTCTAGAAATGAGACACCGTATCCAAACTGCTCTTTTACCTACCCCCAAGAAGCATAGGGAATGGACAGCACCATGCTCTCCTAATTCAGCTGTGCAGTCCTGACACTTCCCAATTAAGAGTCGCTCCTCACAAAGGTGTTAATGGCCTCATTTTCTATCTGCCACATCTTTTAATTTCTAATCAAACTGTTTCTAAATGTCTTGTTAAAATAGGTTTTCAAACATTAGTAGATTTTTATGGTTTTGTGTTGTACTGAGTTTATAAAATATGGCCAAATTTTATAACCCTTTCTGGAATGGTGACTTATTTTTCCTGCTGTGGTAAGATAGCTGACATAGACCATGTGAAGGATGGAAGATTTGTTTTAGCGTATGGCTTTACATGCTTTCTCTCATGCTTGCTTTGCTCCATGTGGCTCAGCAGACATCATGATGGTGGAAGGTGGTTGGGAAGGTTGTCATCTCCTGGCAGTGGAAAGCAAAGAAAGGAAGTGACGAGAAACGAGGTGTGATGGCCACAGGCATGCCTCCAGGAACCTACTGCTTCCCTCAAGCCTCTCAAAGTTGCCATCGGCTTCCAAAACAGTTTGGTGAAACATTTAACACATAAGCTTGCATCAGGAAGTAGTCAACATGTGAGCCTGTGGGGGACACTCCATATTCTAATCTTAATGAACCAGTATTAGCATTTTAGAACTAATGAAGAAAACTATCACTTATTAGCTGTCAATCCGTGGCAAATACTACATTTTCAAACTTTAAATTCTAGCATCTGCTATTATCACTTCTGCTGTGGGAAAATATCACACTGCAGGTGCATTGTGCAAGTCTCAGTGCTATCTCTGAGGTCAAATCCATCTGAAAGCCCAGAAAACCCACTTTCCTTATGAGTCATGGTCAAGGAAGGAAGGGGTAGTGCAGCTTCCACGCAGCTTTCCCCCTGGGGAGCAGCTGCTAGCCTTAGTCAGTCTTTCATTTCATTCCACATGTAATAAGTGCACTTTGGGTTCTGAATCCAGTTCAGGCCAGGGTGAGTAAGCAGTGTATAATCTTTGGCTCCTTAGACCACTTACTCCAGCATACTCCCTAAAGGCCTTAAATCAATGAAAATAAGTGATCATGCCACATGTCATTCTTAACTTTTACATTCAGGTCAGTACCTTACATCAGTATCATTTAAAAACAATGCTTTAGCTACCTTTTTATATACAGTAGGTAGTGGTAAAATTGGGAAGTTAACATTATATAGTAGCAATGGCTTATGAAAATTAAGTGCCTATTCAATACGTCTTGCTTGCTTTGTTTTTACTCAATCCTATGAAACTGTAGATTAATATAAACTCATTGCAAAGGCAGCCTGTCCATGTTACACACTGACAGGTTTGTAATTTTAAGTCTGTTAGTCATCACACAAAAACAACAATACAAATTCTTCCCAATCAAAATAATGACAGTGATTATGGAGGTAACTTGACTGGGATGGACCCTCCAGTACCAGGCAGGGTCCATGTCCATCAGTCATGCCCACATGTCTTTTTTATTTCTGGCCCAGGAATGTAATCCTGCTTACAATAAGTATGGCTTCAATAAAAGTGGTTGATAGAAAAATACTATTTTTATGTATCTTTTTGTAGGTTACATGTTAATTATAGCCAACTGATACATTAAAAATTCACACATATGTGTATATAATCCTTAAATCAGAAACAGAAAAGGATTTCTATTTAAGTCAAGACTAAATGTCTTTAAAATATACATAGTGGGTTTTTTTTGTACACTAAAGAATATAACTACAATTGAAAGGACAAATCCCATTATAAAGAGGGAAACAAGTGGTTACTTTTGGGGAATGGAGATGTTAAAATTTAGAGCAGTGCAGGTAATAAGTGGTGTGTTAAAATCCTTTAAACCATTGGCAAGAATCATTTGTGAAATTAAAAATATTAATACATACTGAGCCCCTTTGGTAAACAAACAAAAGCCTGTTTGGTGGGATGGGGTCAGGACTCAGCCAACAGACTAGAATTAGAAGGCGTCACGAGGTTTTCTCATCCTTGGCCTTGGTCTTATTGCACATTTACAAAATCAGTGCCTCCAGAAACAAGGCCAGGTCACTGTTATAGCGTCTGGACCATGAAGAGTCTTCATAATGTTTGTTGTCTCCTTGACTGGGTGTCTGAGTCTAGTCTGTCACTCAGCTTACCCAGTGCACATTACCTACCTCTTTGTAACTCAGTGTTCATCTGCAAAATGGGATGAGAGCACCAGCTCCTGAGAAGATTAAATGAATGAGTATTTCAAACATAGAATGAGATAGATGGAATTTATAAAGCACAAGTTATACATTAGCATTCATTAGCTAGAGAAGTGAAAAATATGAAGAGACTGAGATTTAAAAGTTTTAGAGATTCTAATTCAGTAAAAGTGAGTATGATTTACATAATATCCTATTTTTATCCATTCATGTGTTGTGTCTACCTGGAAAATGTTTTTGTATTACCATAATTTTATGTGGAACTAAATTTATACCATCAGGCCTACTTTGTATATGTTGTTGGATGAGTACATATGTGAGAAACTGATTTACAAAATAAATTATTTATTAAATGCATTTCCCACTCCCAGGTAGAGTCACTTTTAAAATGTTTCTCAGTCTGTTAAAACACTTTAAGTGAGGTCAATAAAAAGTACTATTAAAATACCCCAAATGCCTCAAATATCATTAATGTACATAAAGTATTTAAATACAGTCTTCAATATTGCCTCAAACATACATCATACTTTTACTTAGTATTCAAATAAATTATTGACAACAATTTACAGTGAAGTAGATCTACAATATAAACATGTCTGATGATACTGACTGTAATGAAGTGTTTTTACTTTGTCATTTCTAAAAGTAAATGTGGTGAACATTAAACCATATATCCAGAAGTCTGGACTAACAGTAGATCTCTAAACCTCACATGATTTTATTTCATCATATTTCTACTATGGCTTTTTGACAACATATATTGAACACTTTTCAAACATAAATGAGAAAAGCCTGGTGTAATGTGCCTGCCTGTAATCCCAGTACTCAGAAGGTGGAATAAGGAGAATCAGGAGTTCAAGGCCAACCATGGCTCTATGGAGAGTTTGAGGCCAGTCTGGACTACATGAGACTTGATAAATATAAAATTACTATGCTTTTTTTCAAAATGAAGAACTTCACATACCTTGGAAGATTAAGTAATTTAGAGTAATCATCCTGCAGAGGAAAAACTAATCTATAAAGACATTTTCTTGAAGTAACTGGAAAATTCAAAGCATAGGAGAAAAGTTATGAGACCAAGAGACTGGAATATGAAGCCAGATATTCTCTGCATTTTTGCCCTAAGTATGTTTCATGCTTGGAGTTATATGCTGAGAGGCCAAAGAACACATTTTGATATTTCATGGGATAAAAGTGTGGTCAAAGTACATTAAAGATGTGTCTTCAATGACCTCCCCATATTTCAGTCCATGGCCCCATGAGCTGCATGGTGTACAAGTAAACTGAAGCTCAGACAGGCCTCCCCTCAACAGCAGTTTACATCTGAATCTCTGGATTGCCAATGGAATATCATTACAGAATGGGTGGGTCAAGTGGCCCCAAGGTGGTTATGGCCTCGTACTCTTTTTTTAAGGAACTAGCATTGTCTCTGATCTGAACTTGACTTCAGACGTTTTTGAAGCACAACATCTCACAAGCTATCAAAGCTAAAATGGTGCAGAGGGTTACTGTGGGATGGTCTGTATGTCAAATGTGTTGCTGATTGGTCAATAAATAAATCACTGATTGGCCATTGGCTAGGCAGGAAGTATAGGTGGGACAAGGAGGAGAATAGAGCTGGGAAGTGGAAGGCTGAGGGGAGACACTGCCAGCCGCCATCAGGATAAGGAAGATGTAAAGTACCGGTAAGCCACAAGCCACGTGGCAAGGTATAGATTAATAGAAATGGATTAATTTAAGCTGTAAGAACAGTTAGCAAGAAGCCTGCCACGGCCATACAGTTTGTAACCAATATAAGTCTCTGTGTTTACTTGATCGGGTTTGAGCGGCTTGGGACTGGCGGGCGAGAGAGATTTGCCCTGACTGTGAGCCAGGCAGGAAAACTCTAGCAACAAATGGCGTCCAACGTGGTGGCAAGAGTTTCCACCTAAAACCTGAGAAAAAAGATTCTAAAACGGAGCTAAAAACAGTTCCTAATTGTTTCTCTCAAATGAGCGGCAGCTGCCGGTTTGAGCTACTGGCGGGTTGCTGGCGTGCGCGCTCGACCTGCAGTATGGCGGGAATGAAGTCTCTGCAAATGGCACATTAAGCTGCTTGATGGATTTAGCCTTTGCTAGTACAAAACAAAAAAAGAGGTTTCTGAGCTACATGCTGCTTGGATAAAAGCATAGACCCACGATAGCTCCCAGAGCTGGTGGTAAGCATACACCGCCATGTTGGGAAGCTGAGGTGGGCGGAGCCAGCAGCCACAGCTGCTACAGCTTAAAGCAACAGATTCATAATAAGACAGATTCAGATGTAATAGTTTAAAATGTGTGTAAAATATACGTAGGCTTAAAAGAGACAAAAAAAAAGGTGATATATACAGTATAGAAACAAATACATGGTTTAAAAAAAATAAAGTCTTTAAAGAGACAGTAAAATTAATATAAAAAATAAGCCACATAGAGATGACTATTACACAGAGAGTCTGGATTGTGTTGTCTTTGGGATTCTTAACTACAGAGAGATATTTGATTGTAAAGGAAGCTGAGTTAAACCAGTATGTATATTTTAAAGATACTTTGACTTCAAAATTTGGATATAAGGATATGTTGCTTTGGAAAAGAGTCTCTTTTGTTTCCACAGAAAGCAAGAGGCTATGGATTTGTTCCAGAGTAAGATACATCAGGTTTGACCAGCCAAGACCCCCTGAAAGGTCTCCGATGACACCATGGCCCAGATGATCCAACATCCAGAACCGTTTCAAGACAACTGGCTCAGATGATACAGCCTCACGGACTACTCCATGATCCTAAAATTTTCTTTGTTTCCCCAGAAGATACAGCGCCCCCCTCCAGCAGGAAGTAGTAAGAGAAGCTACGCCCAAATTCCCAAATATACCAAGCTGACTTTGGAGATGTGTAAAGGTTAAAACCTTCCTTTTTAAGAAAAGAAAAGGGGAAGTACTGTGGGATGGTCTGTATGTCAAATGTGTTGCTGATTGGTCAATAAATAAATCACTGATTGGCCATTGGCTAGGCAGGAAGTATAGGTGGGACAAGGAGGAGAATAGAGCTGGGAAGTGGAAGGCTGAGGGGAGACACTGCCAGCCGCCATCAGGATAAGGAAGATGTAAAGTACCGGTAAGCCACAAGCCACGTGGCAAGGTATAGATTAATAGAAATGGATTAATTTAAGCTGTAAGAACAGTTAGCAAGAAGCCTGCCACGGCCATACAGTTTGTAACCAATATAAGTCTCTGTGTTTACTTGATCGGGTTTGAGCGGCTTGGGACTGGCGGGCAAGAGAGATTTGCCCTGACTGTGAGCCAGGCAGGAAAACTCTAGCAACAGAGGGTTATGAGTCAATATGCACAAAGGAGCAGAAATAAGGAGCAATGGGAAGGGAGCCACAGGATCTCCTTAGGACAATCAGACCTGGAATAAAAAATAAATATGTTGTATTCAAAGGCTACAAGACAATGCTGGAAATTTCAGCAGTAGATTAGAAATATAAACCACCTAGCAAAATTTAAAATAATCTAGTAAGAATTTTGAAAAATGACTAAAATTAATGATTCTACTGAAAGGATTTGACAGGTTATCATTCAGAGCTTAATGCAATGGTGAATCTGAAGACAAGCCAAAGGCAAAACAGTCCAGGCAACGTATGAGTGTCATGCATGTGGTGAATACAGGAATCAGAAAAGCAGGGGCAGAAGCAGACGATAACGTCTGACAGTCTTTTAAAGTGGGTGAACAACAATCTACAGAAGAACTCCCAAGAAGCAGTCTTGCAATGAACCAGAAAAAGTGAGTTGAAAATGCTCAACATGTCCAGAAGAAACATCTACAAAAGTGAAATAATGATGTCAGCAGCTCCTATCAAAAGAAGCCATGGAATTCTAAAGGCAACTAAGCATCTGCAGCACATTAAAGGAAAAGGCGGCTGATACCGAGTGGCACATTCAGACAGGGGAGAGTGGCTGAAAATTCATATTTATTGGTAAGAAAGCCTTAGTCGTCATCTCCATTTACCTCTTCCATATGTCTAGTCTTTTTATGCATGGTGGTTCTGTGTATTTTAAAGAAAATTGTTTTCTTTTTTACTTGATGGATGTGGGTGTTTTGCATGCATGTTTGTTTCTGCACCATGTTGTAACTGCTGCTCTCAGATGTCAGAGGAGGGCATCAGATGCCCAGAGACTGGAGTTACAGATGGTTGTGAGCTACCAGGTGGGTGCCAGGAACTGAACCCAGGTCCTGCAAGAGCAATAAGTGCTGAGCAATAACCCCTGGGCAACCTTTCCAGTCCCAATTATTTCCCTTTTTAATTTTTTTCCTATTTATTTCTTTGAGGCGCACTATAGATGTGCGAAGGTGAGATGACAGCTTGTAGGAGTCAGTTCTTGCTTCTGTCATGTGGTGCCCCAGGATGGAACTCAGGTCATTAGACTTGGCAATAGGCACCTTTAGCCACTAGGCCATCTTGCCAGATGTACTATTTTTTTAATAGGACCACATTTATCATTTTGTTAGAATTTGTTTCTTCTACTGTCACTGAAAATGCTTTCTTCTGAAAAAAAATTCTTTGGTATTGCTTTTAGTAAATTTCTACTATGGTGAAGTCTTCCAGTTTTCATGTGAAACATCTTTATATCAATTTCTTCTTTTAAAAAAATGAGTCTATCAAATGATAAAGAATAAATCACCATTGGATATTTATAAGACAAGTATGTGCTATATAGGATACTTTCTTTTTTATTTTCTTTTTCTTTGGCGGAGGGAGTTTCGAGACAGGGTTTCTCTGTGTAGTTTTAGTGCCTGTCCTGGATCTCTCTCTATAGACCAGATTGGCCTCGAACTCACAGAGATCCACCTGGCTCTGCCCCCCCCCCCGAGTGCTGGGATTAAAGGCATGTGCCACCACTGCCCAGCTGATACTTTCATATTCAACTGATCCAACAATTAGGAGAAAACCATAATTTATAAAGGCCTGAGATGCATGAATCTGACTTAATGAACATGTTAAGTCTTCATGAAAAATCAGAATGCTAATGCTTCATGAGCACATGTGGATAATTTACAAGCAATGAATTGACACTGAGTCACAAGAAAGGCTCATTATAAAGAACTGACAGCACATAGATAATAAACCTTGATGACAGTCTGACTAAACTCTAACTCAACAAGAAGAACAAAAGTCAATAAGTGTTGATAATTAAGACACAATTCCAAATACCTCATAAGAAGATGTCAAAATAAGTTATAAATCTTCTATACCTGCTCAACAACAAAAAGGAAGAGAAACTATAAAAAAAATGAGGAATAGAGAAGACACTGGCATTAGAGTCTGCAGACAGAAGGAATATGGGAGCACTACATGATGGGAGACTTCTGCTTCTTCCAGAATAGAATGGGATTTGCTTCCCATACTTTCCTTGACTATTAAAATTTCTCGACTTGGCACAACAAAGAAAAGTGGAAAGATGGTGCCTGTGTTAAGACTTGGAACTCAAGGACACTATCAATAGTCTCAGATGATTAACCAGCCATCAGGCTCAGGGATAACAAGATAAATCAAAGGACAGGAAAAAGATGACCTGATGACAGGAAAGTCAAGCAGCTTTGTGATAGTCTACTGAGTGGACCAATGATCCTACATGTATGGAAACACGAAACAAGCCATGGGCTAGTCC